AGACTTTTCATTAAGACCCTAAAGAATCATATCAGCTTGTGGAAAATGGGCATCCGATGACCCCTTTAAAATCTACCCACAACACGCATTGTCACAGCACACATTATTTTAATTTTCTTCAAATCTAGTCATTAGAAAGAAATCTATAAAATGTAAACATTGTGTTGCTTTGTTGAAGGATTGTTTTTTTTTTTAATTCATGATTGATATGAATACAGAAAGGTTCAGTTGAATCTCTATTTGAATCATTCATTCAGTTCTGCTTTCTTTGCAGCCTTATGTTATTGTAAACACCAGCGAACAGTACATGGGCAGAACAGGATATGAACAGGAAATTACAACAGATGGAACAGGTCTGCCAAACATGTCAAAATAAACTCATATATCTCTCATTCTTTTACATAATAGAGACTCTGCAGAGGTGTTGCATTTTTGGAGGCTTGGCCTAATGTTTAGAGAGTCTAGTGACTAGAGACTAGTAACCCAAAGGTCATGGGTTCGAGTCTCGGTAACTGCAGGGAATGTAGGTGGGGGGAGTGAATATAACGCGCTCTCTTCCACCTTCAATTCATGACTGAGATGAGACCCTTGAGCAAGGCACTGAACAAAAAATGGCTGCCCACTACCAATATGGCTGCCCCATGTTGAGTGTGTGTGTGTGTGTGTGTGTGTGTGTTTGTTCACTACTCACTGTTGTGTGTGTGCACTTGGATGGGAGAAATGCAGAGCACAAATTCCGAGTATGGGGCGCCATACTTGGCCACACGTCACGTCCTTTCCCTTTCCTCCTTTCCTTAAATCGCTGTTAGGATGTAAAGTAATATTGGGTTCCCCTATTAAACTCCCCAACATATGTTAATAGCAAACACTGGGGCATAAATACAGAGGGGATAACAAACCTAACTAGACACAGGAGCAAATGATCAGGGAGAAATGAGGGAAACTACAAGAGCTACAAAAGGACTAGAAACAAAACTAGAAACAGGAACAGAACAAAAAAGTCCAAATGGGAGAAAATATTTGTTTGTACACAGCGCATGTCCGTAGCTATGTGGATCCAACAGAAACACAGAAAATGACACAAACATACTGTGCAGTGCCTCAAAAATGTTTGAAGTCATATTTACTGGATAGATCTATGAATGCCACAGTTTTGTCACTTGCTGTATTGGACTATGCTAGGAAATATGAGACATTTTAAAGTGTGGCTTAAGTGTCCAAATGCATTGTGAAGACAATGTATGCACTACTGTTTAAAAATGTAGGGTCAGTGGGATTTTCTTTTGCAAAAATTTTCTGATGCTCACCATGCAAGGCTGAGCAGAAATACAGTCAAAATATTGTGAAATATTATTTGAATATATTTAAAAGTGTAATTAATTCCTGTGATTTCAAAGCTGAATTTTCAGCATCATTACTCCAGTCTCCAGTGTCACATGATCTTTCAGAAATCATTCTAATATGTTGATTTGCTGCTCAAGAAAAAATTCTTATCAGTGTTAAAAACAGTTGCTGAATGCTTAATATTTTTGTTTTCAAGATTCTTTGATGAAAACGTTGAAAAGAAATTTGAAATATTTATGAAATATATATATATAAACCGAAACTGTATTGTTGCCTGTTCCAAGTATCCTAGATCAATCAAGTTCTGGTCAGTGTTTCCTACCAATGTTTATCTTGTAATACTGAAATCCACAGCTGTTCCTCTTATTCTGCTCTTGTCCTACACGCTGCTGACAGCAAGAGAATGAGTGCTGAGAAATTGCTTATTCCCAAGATGTTTGGTGATACCAGACAGAAAAGGGATTTTGGTGCACAGTATGTATAAAACCCCACACTAGGGAAGTACTCCAGGTGTAAGAGAGCATGAATATAAAATAGAGGATGTGATTGCAGATGTGCAAGAAGCCACAAGATGTATCATACGAAACAAATATATTCAATGTTATTCACCACCGTAAAATATAGCGTCACTTTTTAATTTCTCCAAGATAGGGTCTTTATTTTGGGTGTTTATTTTATTTAATGTTCTATAACATATAGATTTCAAAATTCCTATTTTAATTTAGAAAGCAGTACATGGGTTTGATTAAGAAAATAGCTTAATATAATAGCTAAACAAAACGTATTAGTTACTAGTTAGAAATACTATATACATGTATGCTTCTTTCTGTATTATTGTAGTTATTTCTGAAGCAATGTAAAAATGTTTGAAAATGTACACTTTGTGAATTAGTTTTAATAAAT